TAATTGAAGACTTGAAGTAAATAATGTTTTTAAGTGCAAAAAATCGGTTTGTTATATTTTATTTGTAAAATGTCCTAAGATCCATAATCAACTACATATCATCATCATCATTCTCAGCTTATTTAACCATGTCCAAGTACGATGTAGCTACATATGGTGTAGCCCCCTTCACATGTTTAGATACTACTTTTGTAGTTGAGCCCATTTTTGTCTATTGTTGGCTATGCGGGTCCAAGTTATCTCTGCTAATTTCCTAATATCATGGTCCCATCTCAGGTTTGGTCTTCCTCTATGCTTCTCAGTTCCTCGTGGATAACATGCTGTAATTTATGTGGTACATCTGTAGTCCGTCCTTCTTGCCAGGTGTCGTCCTGCACATTGCCACTTGAGGGATTTGATTCTGTGGATGACAGTTATTACTTGGATCTTTTGTCGTATCCACTTTATTTTACGGTTTTTTTTTGGTTATTCCCAACATATTTCGTTCCATTGAGTTTTGTACGACCTGCAGTTTTCTTATAATGTCCGTTTTAAGAGTCCAGGTTTCGCATGCATAGGTCATGACTGGTGGTACACATTGGTGGAATGTTTTCTTCTTCAGATAGAGTGGCATTCTATATTTGAATATGATTGAGTTTCTTCCATAAGTACTCCATGCTAACCTAATTCTTTGGTTGATTTCTAGTAGTAGAGATCCCGAGCTGTGTATTAGTTGTCCTAAATGTATGTATATTTCTACTATTTCCACTTTTGAGTTATTAACTAGAATAATATAACAACAACATTGTAACGTTTTTAGTTCGTTACATGTCTTTTTTACATATGATATATGATGTCTGGCCTATCATCACCGGATTCCCTCTCGTTCAAGCCGGATAGCTTATTTGACGCGCAATTTTTACGTTCCCAGCTATAAGCCTAGTCAGTAACTACGGTTGTAAGGATTTATGGTATCGCTCTGTGGGAGCGCGCGCTGTCAACATCGCTTCTGTCAATTCTCTGTGATCTAACTTCACTTTTGGTTGGACCGTTCGGCCTCTTAGACGCCATTAGTCCCAGTGTTGAGAAATGGTGGTCATTTAAATCTGGCTGTATTATCTGAATCAGCTGCCATTTTGAAGCTACAGGTAAAGCTGAGTTATTTTCCTTTAGATTCGTTATTATTAGCGAATATTTTTAGGGTAGAGTTACGGATGGCCCAACTTGTATTTGTATTTGGCTGGCACGTTGGCGTCCCTTTGCTTTTGGCCTCCAGAATGTCATTTGGAAGAAAGGACAGATTATTTATTATTTATTGAGCCCTCGAAGTACTTCGAGGTAGGTTCATTTTGTTTATTAGACGGTGTTTGATTTTAAACATGGGTTTCATGTTCTTAGGGTCTTACGGACGGACTATTTACAAGGTACAGGCATTATCCAAGGTCCTAGTATTCCCTTGTGCCACTGTCTTATGGACGGATGTCCCATGGACAAGTGTCCCCTGTAGGATTGATTTGTCTTCGCATAGAGTGCCCCAGCGTGGGTGTGGCTTGAGCCCCGTGCTGCTTCACCCCCCATTTCTAAGCCTGGATCGCCGACAGACAGTGCAGAGATGCAAGACCTCCTCGCGCTGCTACTGGTTGAAGCAGGGTTACATTAAAGAACAGCTAAGTGTAATTTTAAGTTCTAGTATTGCATTTAACACCTAAAATGTTTTCAGTCTTAAACAGTAACGTACATTTAAACTATAGCGTACAGACTATATTTAGTGGTTAGATTATTAAGAATATTTATGTCAATGCAGTAGTAAAAGTGTGATTTAGATTTTAGATTTCATAGTATCACGCATTGTAATGGTATTACTTTCTATAGACATCATTATTACGCTATACTAATAGATGAATGACGAGATAGATTCTAGAATCTACAGGTTGCAACACATCTGATTGAACACCGTATAAATTTAACAATTTAAATAAAGTAATGCTACTTTTCTTATATTTTCTCTAATATTACACGCATTGTATTTTCCTTATAGTCTTTACATAGAACGTATTTAATATTATTTACATATATAGTTTTATTCAACAGGTAACCACTATAATAATTATTAAAATTGTACAATGATATTCACCATCAGAATTCGTAACGAATAAATATAGTCATTAGTTTTAAGTATTATACAATTGTGTTTTCTTTCTCTGTACATGCCTGGCGCCCAATATCTAGATATCTTTTGTTTATTATTATTGATTAATTTTCTCTCTAGTGAAATACCTTATCCACGACTGCTCTCCGATGAAAAGCTGCCGTTCGCAGTGGTAGTTGTTTTAAAAAACGCTACAACATAATATACAAAGCTATGTTAAAGTATCGAAAAAAATGTAAATTATGTATAATTTGTATCTAAGAATAAATTTTATGCATATACTTTATATAATATTCTATAAAATAAAGTGCATGCCTAAATATAAACCTAGTTTAAAAGATTTTATACAGATAGCGTTATTTGCACAAAATGCCGCAGATGCTGTGCAGTATAATAGGTGAGAAATTTTGCGGCCAATTTAGCAAACCTATAAGGTTTATAGTGCTATCCCTCTTGTTAAGGGGATTAGTATGCGAGCATCAGCCAGTAATTTACAGGAAAATATAGCTTTCACGCTAAATTGTTCAATTTACTTATCTGCAAGCCATATTCCCCAATACTATTACCACGCGATTTACTGCAGATGCACCAAAGAAAAGCAAATCATTTATCTTGTCGCTTAAATTCAATTTACAACGTATAAGCAAACAGTTGGAAGGTGTTAAATTATTTAATTATCTATAAGTTTTAATTATTATTAATGACTTGCTTAATTTTGTTAAATATTTTTGTTTGGATTTTATACTCTCGGTAAATATTTGAGAAAAGATAAAAATATTCATTTCTAAAAAAATAATCTTTATTAGTAAATTCTATTCCGTATGAACATTTTAAATACTTTTTTATTTGTAGAAAGATTTAACGTTTAATAACGATTTAACTACTAGAAAGTTTTAACGTTTAATAAAATTTTAATACTGAAATTATTGCAGCTACTTTCAGCCCTAAATAATTTTAAGTGACTAATAAACTTTGAAATTATTCAATTTTCAACCACCCATTTTTGTTGCTCTTAGAGAAAATTTATATGCGCATAACCAAAACTATTTGAAAATATTAGTTAAATTTATAACAGTTATTAAAAGACAAAGAAGATAAAAAAATTTCTTTAGAATTTATTAGTTAATCATTTTTTTTCTGATTTTTAGAAACAGGTATGATAGGCTATTAAGATCGGCAAAAAAAAAGTTTTTTTTAATTTCACTCAAAATGAGTTATTTGGGTCATAAATGACCTAAATACAAAATATTTTCATGGTGTCTGACTGTCTGTCTGTCAGTCTGTAACACGATAACTCAAAAACTGCTAAACCGATTTTAACCAAATTTGGCACAAAAATACTGTGGCACCCGAGAATCTGGTCATTAGTTTTTTTTTGGGGGGGTTTGGTATGTGGTATGGGAGGGGGTTAAAAATTTTAAAAAATCGTAACTCCAAAATTACAATAGCTAGCGAAACGCGGTTTTCAATTTAAGATTAGGAATAATATTTGCAACAAAATTTGTAAAAACATCAAAATCAGTCAAAGTCGCAGTTTTTGAGATAAAAAAATTGGAAAAATTCCTTTACTTTGAAACTAAAAGAACTGCCTACCAACTTTTTATTAACATATTTTAGTATGGGCGGCTATACGGACCTCCCGGCGCCAATTTTTGTTAATGTTATGTTGTATTATTGAAAGTTTCGTATTGGATTGTCTTGATTGGGGTATTATTATACATATACATATATTTTTTAAAGCTGTTTCAAATCTATTGATTACATAAAAACGGATTTATCGAAGAGATGGGATGGTACTGGCTGAGGATCGAAACGGTCGCTTTATTTATTTAAATAAAAATGTTTATTTATCTAAATAGAGCGACCAGCAAGCCGCTACCTTAAGGAAGGCAATGGCAAACCATCTTGAGTATATTTGCCTTGTACAGCCACTCGAATAGAGCCGTTCGGATTCGGCGATAAACTGTAGGTCCCGTGTACTTGTGAAACACTGATGACACACATCACAGGTACATTCGAGAGATAGCCGACGCTCTGTATATAGTATGGCACTGTAAGTAGAATAGATGTTGATAAGAAGTTTCACTTCAAATATGCGCATATAGTGCAAACACAATTTTTATTCGCATATTTTTTTCTCTGTGTTAAAAGTTAGCCAAAAAAATCCGGTCAAGATAGATAGTCAATAAGCAGTGTGATCATAATTTTTAATTACGATTTTTAATTAAAGACTACGTGTGTTTAAATTTTCAGATATTATTTAAAAGCTCTCCGATATTGATTTTTCATAATTTTAAAATATATGATATTTATTTTGTTATCTCAGTGTGGTGTATAATTTATTGTATACCACACTAGATCACTAAATTCCATTCTTTTCTGTCTGCCTTCATTTGTCATTTGATGGTAGAACTGATATCGAGAAGTAGTGTCTTAGTATTCACATGTTGCTAAAGTTACTCTAAACCCTCATGGAATTTGTTGCTGGAAATATATCAAGGAGGACCAAATGGCGGTTCATAGCAACATATTTTGAAATGTCTGCATCACATTTAGATGGATTTTAACAATATATCTCCAATGTTAGATGTCATATAGCCATTGGTTTTAATAACTGTGTATAAAAGATTATCATATAAATTTATTTTGTATTGAATTTTTATTTTCTTTTATCCTGTTTATTCCGTATCTTACAGATTACAGATTCTTCAACGTTTTAGTTGATTATGAGGCTATGTACAACTTGTAATCCAATCTTCACTATATGACCATTATTAATATAATAAAATTAAAACTAAAATAAAATTGAAGGAAGTTCAGTTAGATAATAAGATAATATTATAATAATAATTTATGCTTATTTTTGTTACAGTTAATCAATCAAGAACGAAAGCTCAGTACCGTCTGCTCCAGAACGATGGCAGCCATGTCGTTGGGTTTCATAGTCTTGGTAACTCCCTGGACGATACAGGAAGTGGTAGCCGCGTGTACGGGTTCGCGAGCACCACCTTCCCTTGACTTTTTAGCCACGTGGTTGGCCTTAAGCAATAGTTTCTGGTACCCGTTTATCTACTGGACGCTCAACAATCATTTTAGAAGAATAAGTAGGGAAATATTTATTGGGGTGAGTGTATTTCTTAATAAATTTGTAATGTAATTCATATTAATCAGAGAGAATAATAAAAATATTTTTGCATTTTTCTTTTGTTATACGGAGACAATCATTGAAATAGTTTGAAAAAATAGTTAAAGAATTTTAGGATTAGTTACTGATACCGATGCTAAATGAAATTATCGATCAAAAAAATTCAGCAAATTTGTCAAAAACAAAATGTCAATTCATTTAATACGTTAATTTTTTTGCTTTTCTTAAATAATGATAGCTCCCGTATATAGCGTTTAACGCCTTGGGAGTAGCAAGGTACAGCTTGCCATACTAGAGCCGTTCGGTATACAAGGAAGGTAATGTGGCTAGCACTACGGCCGCTTCAACCGCGTATTATTACCTCAGGATTGTGAATCTCAAGTACTCATTTAAAGCTGAGTCGACCTAGGTACCCAAACTATTTTTATTTTAATAAAAATAATCGGCTGATGAAATGCCGGGTGTAGGATTCAAACCCAACAACCTTTAGATAGGTAGACGAGAGCTGTACCTCTACGCCAGCGGGCACCACTTTTGCTTTTCTTTATCTACCTAAAAATATACAAATTTTGACATTCTTACTTGTGAAATCGATATGTTTTTTAATATTAGGAATTACACTTTTTTAATACAACTCTAGTTGATCAACATGGAAAAGGAATACGTTCCTACATAGTTAATGCTTATTTTCTTTCGGGTATCCCAAACAAGATTAGAAATTAAACGTAATTGGCGAAGTAACTTTTAATCTATACAAAATCGCTTTTTTCAGCACGATTTAGTGGTTTATTAAATATTAGAAAAACTAGCGCCTACATTCAAAACTTTTGAATGTAGACGCTAGGGGGCGCTGTCTTACAATTTAACAAACGTTGCGCCTTTTTCCAAAAAATATAAATGCGATAGTATATGTACTTTTAGCTGATAATAAGGAGTAATAAATGCTTAAAAAGTCAGCGAAAACCACATCTTGATATTCTCTTTCAAGCCGAAGACATTAGCAAAATTATAATAAACACTAAACAATAAGCCCTTAATTACCTTATTTTTATAACATGATTACAGTAGCCGTCTTGATTATGACTATTCTAATAAAAAATAAAAAGTAAGATAGAAACGATTAGTTTATTCTAAAATCGACAATATAAAAGATTACCATAATAACAGATGTATTAATATCTAATAATTAAGATATCAATGACAGCGAATAAGAAACGATGCCTCGATGAAGTCATGGTAGGCTTTGGAAAGAAGTTGCTTTTGGCGTAATAGCACAAACGTCAAAGGACATTTTCCACGAAAACTTGGAAATTAATATGTAGAATGAGTGCGAAGAAGTAGCTCATAATAGAACTCATAGTGGAGAAGAATTAATTGTAAATTCAGTGAAGAGCGACAACCAAAAGGTAAAAAGGCAACAAAGTAATGAGATTTTTGAATGTCCGGAGTGCGGTAGGCAGCTAACATAACGTATCGGGCTTTTCACTCACAGAAAAGCTTATGAAAGAAAACGCCTTGCGTAACCATCTTCCGATGCGTGTCAAATACTCGTCAGCAAGTAATGGCCAGTATGTATGTAAACATCAAACTGTTATTAGATCAACAATTTGATTATATTGTATTAGCTAGCAGCTTTTTTTATTTTTTGAAGAAAGGCATATTTAGAAAAGCAACCAAAGATAAAAAAACGCTGCTGAGAATATCAAAATGTTGATATAATAATATTTTGATGTTTAAACTATCCCTTTAAAAGCAACTTTTTTCCAAAGCCTACCATGAATTCACTGAGGCGTCGTTTCTTGTTCACTGTCATTGATATCTTCATTATTAGATATTAATACACCTAGTATTATGGTATTCTGGTACATTGTTGATTTTTTGAATGAAATAATCTTTTTTATCTTATTTTTTATTAGAATGGTCATAATCAAGAAGGCTAATGATAGCGTGTTAGAAAAATAAGGTAATTAAGGGCTTATTTTTTTCGTATTTATTTTAATCTAGCTAATTTAGCTCAAACTTTGGTTTGAAAAAAGATATCAAGATGCGGTTTTTTAAGCTTTTATTACTCTTTATTATCAGCTAAAAGTTCATATATTTATATTCATGCATTTATATTTTTTGGAAAAACGCGTAATTTTTGTTAAATTGTAAGACAGCGCCCCCTAGCGTCTACGTTCAAAAGCATATTTTTTTTGTGGTATAACATAGAGTAAGAAACTCTTTTTTAAACGAGCTATCATTTGTAGGATTCCGATCATCCAGTCCGGAGTTAATAACATTTAAATAAAAACAGATCTAACCTTCCCCCACCACTTTATTTTAGAAGATAGGGGAAATTAATCGTACAAAAAAAAATCAAAATTTACTGAAGATTATGAAGCTATTATTTTTAAGTACATCGTATCTACGCAAAATTTCTTAAAAATTCTGTTTGGTTATTTTCCATAGCAGTTACGCCCTCTAGCGGCCGTTCTACAGAGTTGAAAATAATTTCCAGCGGTTTCTCATGGTCTCTTCAGTTAAAAATACTTTTTTCCGCAAGCCCTGTGACTAATACTTTCCGAGATACAGCCGAGAGCTATTCTTAGTTTGACACCCTGTATCTTGCTTTTTGTTAACTTTTTTTTAACAATATAGGATCGATTTTAATCTGGAAAACAGACACTTTGCCATAAACTTTACGACTTTCGGCCTCCTGAACTAACAGTTTTCAATTTTCACCGTACCACGCATCGATTTCCAGTAACAGTAGTAGTTTAAATGGCCCATAAAATGCAGATTAGCTAGAGAGAGCAGCATGCAGATGATCCTAATTAGAAAATTTAATTAGGTCGGTAATTTTGCCCAGACGAAATTACGCTTATTGGAAATGACGTTTATAATTCTTGAGCAGCTCCGGCGTAGTTATCTCGTTACCGCGCCAAGTCGAACTCTAATTTGTAGAAATTTTCAAATTGGTCGTTTAACTTCAAAATTGAAGGAAGAGTTCAGACCGGCATACCGGATGGATTCAATTTTATTTGACAATCTCTTGTAACTAAAGTAATTTTGAACTAAATAGTGCATCTTCAATTTTTGGTGGGCTTGATTGCCATGTATTAGTCTAACATTGTGAATTCTAAATCTCCCATCAGTATTATTAGTTCAGTCATTGGGGATTTTTGCTTGGAAAAGAGTCCGGAAGTTTTGCAACTTAGCAGGTTAATAGGGCTATTTGGGGTCCCTAACTAAAATCCATAAAATGCACATTTCCAGGCTTGCCGCCGGCGCCGCCATCTTGCCAAGGTGGCGCCCAAAATCGGTATTTTGTAAATATCTCGAAAACTATGCGTTTTTTGTAAAAACTAGAAGAGAGCAAAATTAAAAAATAAAAAAATTTCCTATAAAAAAGGTTTTATTAATATTTTCGCTAAAGTCAACCGTTTAGACACAAAATCCCTGGAAATTTTACAATTTTGCGTAAAATATATACTATGTATAGTCGATTTTCCGAAATCAAATGTCGATTAGGGTTCACTAAAACTAGTTTTAGTTTAGTTTCTTCAATCAGTTAAAGTCTTCAATCTTCTTCAGTTAAAGTTTTGAATTTATCTAGTGGAGATCTACTCAACTAGATAAATTCAAAACTTTAACTTATCTGCACAAGCCCGACGGATCTGGCTCATTGATGTCAAAGTCGATCATGTCTGCTGTGCAGGGCTCATCAGGGTGGTCTCTCAATACATCCAACTCTTCATCTTCAGCCGCCAGAGGGATATCTACAGGCAAGTCCAACTCCTCTTCATCGGATTCGTCGAGTGACACTTCAGTGACGTTGTCACAGGATTTCCCATTGCAGTATGCACAAATCATTGAACATTTTAATCCTGCTTTTCTGCATCCGCAGGCTTTACCATAGTTGTTGGTTTTGCATTTACAGGATAAAAATGCCAATAGGGATTTTGGAGCTGGATCTTTCAACGTTGTGACTGGAGTAATGCCTGTTTTTGTTTTCTTCCAACCCCATTCTTCGGCATCTTTGGTACAACCAGACCAATGCTGAACCTGGTGGTAAGTTCGCAATGAATGCTGTGCAGCACGACAATTAATTATACATAAATTAATGAGCGAATTAATGAGACGCCACTGTTTTATGACAAAATTGAAGAAACTAAACTAAAACTAGTTTTAGTGAACACTAATCGACATTTGATTTAGGAAAATCGACTATATGTATATCATACTTTACGCAAAATTGTAAAATTTCCAGGAATTTTGTGCCTACACGGTTGACTTTATCGAAAATTTTCATATAACCTTTTTCATAGAAAATTTTATTTTCTTTAATTTTGCTTTCTTCAAATTTTTACGAAAAACGCATACAGTTCGAGATATTTACAAAATACCGATTTTTTGTAAATATTATCTATGTTACTAGTAGTAGGCTTATTGGTCTATAGTTTTTGATGCCTTATGTTGGCATGGAATTATGTTGGCACTATTCCAGTCTTGCGGTATATTATGTTTTCTCCTTATACAGCTGGTGTATAAATTTGCTAGGATTTTTTAAGTTCTCCTAATTAAGAACTGAATAAGACTTTTATGAACTTAATGAATACGAAAATAATTTAAAAATAAATCAGAATTCTTCAAAGACATTACATTTTTTTTTTCAGAAAATAGCCCTATCTATGTAAATCTAGACATACAAGATATACATAAAAAAAATAAACAACAGAATACAAAACACATTAGACGCTGAACAAGCACAAGCAAGTTTTAGAAGTGGTTTCAGCACAATTGATAAGCTAAAAGAAAGCATTATCTAAGCAAAAGAATACGAAGTTCCACCAGCCATAGTCTTTTGGCTTTTGCCTCGATATATCCTAAGAGAATAACAGAAGCCTTAACGAAATAAGGAATACACAGAGGAATCTTCTTCTTCTTTCTCTGCTTATCCATTAATGGATGTTTGCGACCACATTTTCCATGGCTTC